ATTAAAATACTTGTTTATTTATTTTTAAGCAATGACACAAAACGATAAATCTGAACAACATCCAGAGTTACCTCCTCATTATGATACTGCAAAAGACGAAGAAATCACTTCGATTTCAACAGACGGAGAATTTCATAATCAAGAAGTAAATGTGGATGTTATATATGTAAATAACGATCGTAAAATGAAAATGTTCACAAGTGAATCGGAATCAGATTTCATACTCGAATATGGGACTGAGCAATCAGTTGATGTGGGCGACGAGCCTCCACCTTTGCCCATAAAAAACAAACATAAGCAAAATGTTTTATTTGACGAGAAGCCACAATATCAAATAATCGATGGTTTTTACGTTTTTAAAGATGTAAGTACCCTTATGTTCATAAATTATGTCTACAAATTTAAATAATATAATTTATATACTTGTATAGTACATAATAAATATAGTGATGAGCAACCTGTGCGATAATGACATTTTAATAGAGATCCTCCTAAAATATCATATCAATCAAAAAAGTGATTTTAAAACAGAATTTATACCTATATTATAGCATTGGCTATATGCCTATTTTATATTAAGTTAAATTTTGATGGAGGGTTGTCTCATCGAAATTAATTAATTTGGGAGTCGTAGATCAATAAAAGTGGAGTACCACCGTTAATATTTAATACCTATGTATATTATATTACTATATTAGTTAGGTACATAGTATACACTCGTAATTCATGAAAACTATTGTATTTTTATAATTGATATATTTGTCATCGTCGATAATAGAAATTAATTATGTTTATTTATATATATAGGACTATTCGATTTTATTATATCTATATGAATGTATTATAAAAAAATTAAAACTATTTTATCCAAATAATATTATGTAGGTGACTAAACAGTTTTTGATAACGATTATTGGTTTTAGGGATCTAAAGAAGTGATCTATGACGTTCCTATTCCACATGGAAAACTTATCGAACATTTTCGCCGGCTGACCATTACTTCCACGTCTTCGCCGGTAAAGCGTTATACCGACAACCACACGTACCATGATTCGTTGGAGCCTTCTGTTTATGAGTAAGATATTGTGAACGATTCGAGACTACTAGGTCTTACCAAAAGTCAAATTATTTTTAATTTTTTTTTTTAAATATTTAGGACCTTACAAATGACACCAGACTCGCTAGAAATTTCCATGATGTTCCCAACGTACAAGAGATGGTCAAACGATTCGGGATTCAATAATTACGAAGAACAAAATTCGTTTTTACCCGATCACACCAATTTTGAGGATTCCTTAGAACCAGTCATAACCATGATACACCACGATCGCAAAATATGGCAAAACGTGCCAAATATCAACTCTGCCGACTACTTCCGTTGACCGTAGTAATATAACGTATTTATAAGCATTAGAAAACGTATACGTGTTATGATTTTTTATTTTTTTAATGAACTTTCCATTGTAACAGATATGCTGTTGTTATTTGTATATAATATATTATCTATGATTCGAACAAATTTTTTCTGAAGAATATATATTGTTTTTATCACACAGTGAGAACGTTGAGTTATGGTTTTAACCAGTTGTAAGCTTTATATGCATTTTTAATTTATTACAATTATTATCTATAACAAAATTATTTCAATAAATAAAAGCTAAACAATATGAACATGTTGCACACAACTAGTGATCGGAACGTTCACTAAAAATTGAATTCATTCTTGTTATTTTCAAATGAACACGTTCTTTAAAAAAATGAATGCGTTAATTAAAATGTTTTTATTTTATTTTTATAAATAATTGAAATACTTATTTAAAATCGTGGAAATTATAATATTATTGTTGTTTTATGTCGAGCCGTACCCACTGAAATTTCAAGTATTTAATTTTTATAATTCGATATTATATTATGATAGAAACATGTTTTTCTATAATTTTACATTGATATTATTAATCAATATTATTTTTAAATGGTAAATAAATTTGAAAGTCTAAAAAATCGTTCATATCCATTAAAAAATATAAGTAAACGTTGTGATTCGTGTTCACGTTCTATTTGAAAAAAAGTGAAGTTCATTAAAAATGAATTTGGGTTCATGAGCGACTATCTTTCCAAACACTATACGATGCAACTATGCAAGTACCTATGCAAAGTACAATTAGTGTATTATATAGGTACTCACCTAAAACTTAAAAAAAAAACTAATCCCAATAATTTTCAGATGAATATTTACACTGAGTGTCTGAGTATGATATTATGTAATAATATGCAGGGAAAGGATAATATTTAAATGATTTATATTATAAAAATATTCAAAACCATATTTAATATCAATAATTTGCAATTGCAATAAATAACAATATTCATACATTATATTTATAATACATACATTAACAAAAATGTATTTAATACAATTCAATTACATTTTTAATTGTGTGTGTAATTTAAAATTCATTATCGTTAATTGATCGTAATTAAAATGCTACAGTAATAATTAATGGGTACTGAAAGAGTTTCAAAAAAATAAACGGTTAATGCTTCACTATATATAGTAGTATCATATTTGATCATTTTAAATTTATAATATTTGTCTAATCAGCCGCGAACGTAACGGCAGCGCCATCTGTTATCGTCGATATCAAACATTTGACATAAGCGTGCGAAACATATATTCCTAGACTGATCGTTACCTTTATCGAGAAAGAATGTTACAATATAAATCTTCTTACTGTTCCTAGCCCATTGAAATATTATTATTATTTAATATTTATTATTATAATCACGAGTTATGACTTATGACCTGTGAGTGCCGTATGCGAGTGTCTACGATTTATTTTTCTGTAACCTTCGTTACTACTTACTAGTATATAGAGCAGTGATCCAAAGATAACAAGTACCTAATTATGATTTGGGAATTGGACATTGGTGCTGTTTGATCGAAATGGTTTAAAAAAAAGAAGTGTTGGGTGTATAAATAATCCATTCATTACAGTACCACACCCTCCGTAGGAAAACTGATATTTTTATTGTTCCCAAACCAGTTGAGGGAGAGGGCCCTTCTCTTGCACGATCTACCGTTTTCTATAATCGAACGTTATTGAGTCGATATGAAAAAAATAATCAATACCTGATTATTTGTAATAATATTATTTTTGTAGTTATCTTGTCATGTCGTGCGATTTATAACTGTGGCCTGTTACGTTATAATTTTCAACGATTAACCGTCCAAAAATCTAAAAATATTTATAACTTATAAGCATGCAACTAGCAAGTACGACTCATTTATACTTAAATGAATAGTAAAACGTAAAAGTATCTTTATTTGTCATAGAATGGAATACCTATTATATTAATAATAACTTTGTTATGAACCTATTGATACGAACCATGAGTGGAGGAGAGAGGAGTGATATTGTGCATATTATTGTTATGGATAAATATGATAAATTGATATAATGACACATATTTACTATACATAAAGGTTCACCTCGCTATTTTTTTTCGTCAATTGACACATTAATAAATATTTGATGTTTTAATGAATATGAATATGATGACGAGTATTGATGACTATTAGACAATTAGATAGTTTTACAATGTACTTACAAAATATGCACACGGTCAGAGATGGGAGGGGGCACTCATCAACCCGCCCAAAACCACCACTTACCTTAAAGTCCAGTAGACTACTTACATAATTTATAAAAAATAAAACCTTAAGTGTTCACTCAGAGGTCTTTTTTAAATATTTAAAAATATTAAATAAGTCATGACTTTATAAGCATTTTTAAGTATATTAATGTTTGTATACGACAAACTCATGCCCAACTTGGATTTGGGTTAAAAATATTGAAAAATCCGTCGAGAGAACAGAGATAATGTTGTTACCTTTGAATTTGATAAGGTCGATTGATTCTTATATTAAATCGAACGAAACAAAACGTGAGTTTCAGCAGTTCGTATAATTGGTGTTAGATATTTCTTTATAGCTTGTAAGAGGGAGACAATAAAACATGCTAATGACGTGTGTATCCTTTAAACGATAAAAAAATATTAATAAAACAGAATAATTTAAAAATTAAGTATTTTATTTTTGAGTTTTATTTATTTAAAAAACTGTAGTTTCTAAATTTAAATAACAATTTCACTTTTTAAACACCAGTTGATAATTTATTATAAAGCAGTTAAGCAGTCGTGTGAAATTTAAGTTAAGTTTAATTAGAGTTCAGGACAGTATAAATATATTACAATTTTAGTTACAATCACAAAAATAATTCTGATAGAAATTACAATATTTTAAAATTGCCATTGGGGAACGGTATAGTTTTAACTTTTTCCCTTAAAATATAATTTGTACTTTTAACCACTCGACCCCTCCAGGAAAATAAATTCTATGAGTATTTGCCCGCTATTACTACAATAAACCAGTGTTTTAGTGCATTACCATTCTGCACAGCTACTGTGCCAATTTATAAGGCATTAAGGCATTTACCATTTAATCATAATACATAATTAATAATTATTGTTTATTACTCTTTGGCCATTGCAATATATCCCTTTAAGTTAGTTCATTATAATAACAACACGTCAATCGGTAAATCAATTTGTAGGTATAATACTTTAATATCATCGACACAAACTTCGTGTTAAATGCTTATAAAACATTACCTACCTATTATTTAATCTGATATTTTATACACTATTGTAACTTAATGAATAATGAACATACCATCCTAAGATTATTAATATTATAAAATATATATTATATGTATTAGTGGATTACAAAACTTTTAATAACATTTAATAATATTATTTAGAAACATTTTAAAATACACAGTAATAAATGAAAATAAATATATCATTGAGACATTGACTCCAATTTGGTTCATCACTCGTGTTAGTGTTTTCCCTGTCGCCCCACCACCTGTCCTTACAAGCGGTTATCAGCTGAATGTAGAAGATAAGGCATAACAATAATAGATGACTCATACGGTCATACCGATTACCGACATACCATTATAGAACATCCTCTTATTGTCTAAAGAGTATTATTATTATTTTTATTATCATTCTGTGGTATTACTGCAGTATACTGTGTACAGGTTATTACTGATTACTGAAGTAGAGTTACAACTTACAACATACAGAGTACAGACTACAGAGAACAGTTCACAGTTGTAAAGTTTACTAACATTTGGAGGAACTTGGTGTTCGTTGTACGATTTTTTCGCACCTTGACTTACAAGCATTTGACTATTTCCAGTCTTCGATACTCTTTTGTACTTTACTTCTATAAAGCCAAACCAACGTCATGTCACTATACCCTTCTTTGGAAGATTTAAAATTGGACGAATTCATTAAGGTATGTCGTATTTGTATGTGTTGTGTATTCACTGGTGAATAAAATATTGTGAACTGTTCATACATAGTGGAATTTTATTTCAACAATTAACCCTTTACTTTTAATAGTGCCTGCCGTGAATGATGTCATTTTTAGAATTGATTATTTTTTTTGTCATATACCTACCTAATTTTGTTTGGTTTAAACTCGTTGCAGACACAAAATCAAATTGTCCAACAAAATGACAATCCACCTCCGTTTATGGCTATTTGTCCACCGCATCCATCAGGTATGGATCAAGAATCACTAGGTGCCATGTACCCAATACTCAATGATTATTTGGGATTAGAGCTCAGTATTCTAGCACAGAATAACAGCCTAGATAATCCTTCCCAGAAAATTCAAACAAAAAATAACACTGTAGCGATTCCATTCCAGGATATTCCAACACATGTGACAAATGGCGTTCGTAAGGTTAATAAGTGATTTGTATTTTGTATCTAATACTGTTATTTGTGTTATAGTGTTCTCAAATTCTAAAATTTATTTTGTACTCTTAGTTGGTGTTATGTAAAGATGGAAAAGGACAAATAGGATTAAAAATGTCTTCATTCAACAATGGCATATTTGTTAGCGTTGTAATTCAAGACAGTCCTGCTGCTAAGGCTGGGTTAAGATTTGGTGATCAAATACTACAAATAAATGAAGTTTTTGTTGCGGGAATGAGTGTTGATAAAGTGAACAAAATTTTTAGAGAATGTTCAGTAAATAACATAAGTGTTATTGTAAGAGACAGGTAAAATGGAAAACTATAGAATTTCTCTTAGATATCAGCACACCATTTGTTTTCATTCTGATCCACGGCGCAACAGCAAATTTATGTTTAGCAGAACCAACCCTGTGTTGTTATTTATAATATTGGAAAGAATTCGCCTTTTATCAAACCTCTAGTTAAGAACATAACCTGTGTCCCTGCTTTTTTATATTTTAATTTTTATACAATTAATAAGCATTTTTAAATTGTTAAAATGTACACGTTCATAACTGTGGGGCACAGGTAATGTTCTTAAACTAATATTTGTTTATAGGTGAATTCACTCTAACATTGAAAGTAATAACACAGACTTGGTTTGTTGTGTATGGGTCAGGGAGAGAAAACAAATAGTGTCCTGACATCTTCTTAAATATATTTATCAACATTTTTTATACTTAGGCCTTTGGAACGTACAATAAATCTGTACAAAGACCGTGTTGGTCAAATTGGATTTCAGTTTAAAAATGGTAAGATTAACAATATTGTCAAAGATTCATCAGCAGCTCGTAATGGAGTGCTCACAGATCACCAGTTATTGGAAGTCAATGGACAAAATATTATTGGCATGAAAGACAAACAAATAGCGGACATTATTGCTAATGCTTCAGACTCAATTAGTATAACAATCATTCCAGTTTCAATTTATGAACACATGATCAAAAAGTATGTTTAATTATTGTTATTAGTCGTTTAAAAAAAATAACCTTACCATGTTTAACTTGTGGATTGCGTGCTGGCGCCAATTTGTGCCCTTAGGGTTGTGCAGCTAACGTTTGACATGTAAGATAAACATTTGAAATAAATTGTTTATATTTGTTGTTGAATGTTATTTGATCACTGGTTAGCACTTACTGCGGTTTAACAGATGTTTAAAAATATTCACCTATATGCTGTTTGAAAATATGACCATAACTGTTTCTTTTTATTAGAAGTTATTATTATTAGATTATTATTATTTTAAGTTATTTGATGTTGACACGAGTGAGAACCACTAAAAACTGTACACAGTCAACAAGTTAAACATGCTCTGTTATATAGCTTGTTTTTTAATATTATTAAATATTCTGTGTTTGTTAGTCACTAATCTAATATTAATTAATTTGTGTGATAATTCCTTTGAAGTCAAGAATTGTAATACTTAGCCCTCTCCACCCCATTATACTTGCTATAACTTTCTGGCTACCTGTAAAACCCTCGTCCATTATTGTCTGTAATTCTCAATTTATTATTTTATCCACTCTCAAACTATTTAATCAGGCTGGATTCAAAATCTAAAAAAATTAACTGTCTTCATAATTTAATAATTCATTAGCATAGACTTGTTTATATTATATATAAAAAAAAAATGCTTAAAAATAATAGCTTATTAAGTATTTAATTTTAATTTTAGGATTGCACCATCATTGATCAAGAACATAATGGATCATTCAATTTAAAAACAAACAAGAAACCTACTCATCTGTTGAAGTCATGTTTAAAGTTTATTATTTACTTAACATAGTTTTATTTTAATTTGTTATTTTACTGTGCATGGAAAGGTCATCCATTAATTAATATCATCTAGTTATTTTTATACAACTTTAATGGGCAAGATATATCAAATTATACTCACTACTTAAATTAAACTATCATTCCATTGATTCCTATATTTTTTTATTCTTTGTTTATTTTTAACTATTATTTATGGATATTCAATTCTGAAATGTTATACAAAGAATTTGGAGTCAGTTTATAATGTATATGATAACTGAATTTTATTTAAATTGAAGTAGAAAAATCTATTTGTTTTTACAAATGTTTATTATAGATCTTTTATTATTATTATTATTAATTAATAGTTAGATTTTGTTTTATATATATTTTTTTTATTACACTAGCACTATAATATTTACATTTTGTAGATAAGAACTACAATTAGCTAAAGCTTTGTTCTAACTTAATATTATAAACTATTTTAGTTTACACAATGGTTTTTTTCTATTCATTCTTTAAATTGCTAATCCTATCACAATAATATTCTCCGATAAAATATAGTCTTATAAAGATAAGCCAACCAGTTAATAAGTGTAACTTATATATGTACATTTAAAATTCAATTTAAATAAGCTGGGGTGGTAGGAACATAGTGCTCTGAAAAATAGTTTTGGATGGATTTGGGTGGCTGACATAAATTGCAGTTGGTGACTAGTGTTTAGTATGTAGATATTGTTGCTGAGATGACCATTTACGAATTAGTTAAAAAAAAAGTTCAATTTCCATAGTATAAAGTATGTATAGACTTGGTTTGTAGCATTTTAGGCCCATGAAAGGAAGACATGATTAAAGTATTCATAAACAAACAATTCACTACGTGCCCAATATTAAATAATATCTTAAATATTATGTTTATTCAGTAAGCAAAAACAATGATAAATGATCAGGAATTTTGAAAATATGTTTATTAATAATGACTCATACATCATCCAAGTCATAGAAAGTTGGACAGCGATTAACCGAAGAAGTATGAGTCACTCAACTTCAAAGTTCAAACTAATTTCATACATTTTAAAATAACCGATTTTTACGAATTATTATGAACCGATTATAAATCGTGAAATCTTATAGAAGTAATATAATATATACAATAATACAATATTATGTATAATGCACATGCGAAGTCTGAGGGAACAATCGCTTTCATTGTAAACACCAGATTTTCGATCAAGCGAGAACGATAGAAAACTGGCGGGAAGGATTTCTTTCGGAAATTAACAAAGAGATGGCCGCCGGAACGGTAAGGTTAGACAACGACGCGTCACCCAGTCCGCCGTCCGGTCAACGGCATTCCCCGGTGATTGCGTCGACTGATATTCAGATTTCGGATGAGTCGAACTTGCCATGGCGACGGTTGGGCGACGGGCGCCGGGCGGTCCGCGAACGCGAATCTCTTTGTATTTTAATTCGTACCGGGCGGCGACGGTTGGTAACACCGCGCCGATCGCGCGCGATTTATCGTAAAACATTTTTCGCCGCCGCCTGCCACCAATAGCGAACGCCGATCCGCGTCCGTCGGGTTTTTCGCATCGTTAAATTGGTATGGCGTTCACTACAGACTTACCGCGGGACTGAGCAGCACGTCCTCCGCCTGAATCGCCGAATCCACCGTTAACCGGTTAACCGCGAATTACACCGTCTCGACCGACGCCGACAAACAACAAGACGACATCCGGTCCGGAAACAACAAACGAAGTATAATCGACATCAAGCACACGGTTGATATAAACATGGGCACGTATCTGAGCAAACCGATCACCGACAAGGAATCTCATGACACAGACAACGGGTGGCTGTCTTGCGGTTCTAGTTCCATGCAGGGCTGGCGTGAGTCTCAAGAGGTAATGATATAGGATTTGAACGGTCTTCTCGAGAATTTCGAGACTGTAACATCTCCGAACTTAATGCAGATCCAACCCTGTTGGAGGGGGTGAATTCGGAATATTACCTTTATACATTTAGCGTGATTAAAATGATCAATGTGCTCTGTGGTGGTGGGGGGACGGGAGCGTGGATGCCCCTTTGCACTTCTGCTATAGGATTATCTACCCACGAGATGTGTTTGGCATCAACTCTTTCTGGAAGAAACCATCTTGCGTTTAATTGAATCTTGGTGTTTGTTCGATGTTTTTGTATATGTGTACATTTTTATTTTTATAGGATGCTCACAACTGTTTGTTGGATTTTGACAAGAGTGTTGCACTCTTTGCTGTTTATGATGGTCATGGAGGTGCTGAGGTTGCTCAGTATGCAGCTGAAAAGTTGCCTTCCTTAGTTAAAAACACCTTGTATGATGATCAAGACTACGAAAAAGCCTTGATAAAGGCTTTCATGGACTTTGACGACAGTCTAATTGAGACACCCATTGTTGAAAAATTAACTACTCTCCGAGAAGAACTTAATGAAGAATGTGGTAGGTTAATAATAAGCAGTAGGTAGTTACTAAGTACATAGTTATACATAATTCTTAATTGAAAAGAGGACTGCATTTTCTTTTGAAATTTGATCTGTAAATCTTATTCAAAAACAAATTATTTAAAACAATTTAGAATCATTGTAGCAACACTAATGAGATATCATTGAATTTAAAATTCACTCTTATTACTTTTGTGTATATAATATACATCACACCATACACTTGATCATGTAGTGACAAATTTATTTTCCATGATATTAAATGCAGAGGTTAAATATAAAATAAAGACATGAAACAATTTAACATGAGACATGACTGTTAACTTTTATTTTCAGTTTTATTGGGTATGGCTATATTATTATGTAAATTAATTTTGATTAAATGAAAATCAGGTTCTAGAGCAGGGATTGCTGATCAGTTTCTATTAGATCCAGATAGTTTGAAAGAAAAAAATGTTGAGGGTCAGAAGAAAGTTAAATATTAGTTGTATAATGTATTTATTTCTGTATTAAAAAGTAAAAATATAGTTTAAGCTGTTTAAGATTTATATAGTTTCATTTACAAATATTAGTACAATTTATGCTTCAATGAGAGAAATTACATTTCTTATCCTGAGCCAGTTTTTTTTTTTAAATTTGGTATTCTTGGAAACCAACTATTGGAAAGAGTGTTTTCAGGGTGTAAATCAGTTAATCTTGAACAATATATTGCATTCTTTAAAAATGTGATTTTGGAGAATGAAGTTTCAATTGTATTTGAAGCCAAACATGGTACCTAATTGTATGGTCAATGTTTTACAGTTTATGTACTTATCCAACATGTGTTGCTTAAAAATCTTCAGTCAATGCAGTTTTGTGTATTTGCAATGAAATATCTTCTTGCAAATCAATAATTTCCATTTGAAGTGAACATTTTGAAAGGTCAAACAATTTTGTAGGACCGTAGGCAGCCTATTGTAGACTCCTACTCTAGAGGCTAGTTATCATTTAAACCCATCTCTTATACCTTTAGTCCGCATCACCAAAACCGGCGGCTGGCCGCACCTGCACCCCAAACCACGGTGTAGACATTGGTTCTCATTCTATTATTGACTCCTGCAACGGCTGCAGCACGGCACAAACTGTTATATTGTTTGATAACCAATTCAACAAGTATTCTGCTTGGAATGTGGCGGTCAGCCGCCAGTTTGTGCGACTCTGACTATAGTATAAAACAATCTCAAACATAAAAGTTTCAATTAAATAATAATTGACTTGTTTATAAAATTTAATGCTCTTTCTATATTTGTTTATTTAATAATATCTTCTTCAACTTATTTTTCATCTCCATCATTTTAAGTTATTGGGGGTACAAAAATGAATAGATTTTGTTTATACTGACCTAGGTACTACGAATATTTTAAACATGGCATACACATAATATTGTTTCTTTATTTTTTAGAGGACCCTATGTGTTTGTATAATATTTACACATAATGTAATATATTTTACATTCAGAATAATCCATTTTACTGTTACTGTTTAATTTTATTGTGATTTGATTTACTATCAAATTCGAAGTCAAGAAAATTATCTAGGGTCACACTAGGTTTGCTTGGATATTTTAATTATGAAGCAAGGTATGAGCATTTTAAAATACTCATGCCTTTAACATAATCCCAATAAAACTAAATTATTTGTATTTTAAGTGGGTAGACATTGTCTTATTGTATTTACTTTTCCAATGTATGAAGCAACTATTTAAATAATGTCTACATAACTACTTTACTTTAATGAGTATATTTTGTTCCAATTAATTGATATATAGATTATAATGATAAAAAAAAATTTTAGCTGATGAAGAGGAAGAAAAAGAAGAACTCAACGAACTTTATGAAGAAGCTAAAATGCCAATTGAAGACATAATATTGAAGTATAAAAATAAAATAATAGAAATGGATCAGAACAAAGAAAAACGCATTAGCAGAGAAAGTGAAGATGAACCGAGTTCTTCTAAAGAATCTTCAATTTCAAAGCCCGAATCTAGTGGTATGTTAGATAACAACTGTCTTTTAGAAAAATATGTTAATGTATTACTTTTATGATATTTAGTTGAATCAAATGATGCCTGTGGTTCTAGTAGCAGCGTAACAGGTATATACTCATTTGAATTTATCTTATTGTTTAAAATATATTCATAAATTGTAAAAATTGGTATTATAGATGACGATAAAAAAAATGTTGGTAATGGAATTGATGAATGTAAATCTAAAGATGCATCAGCTGAAAGTTCATCAAGTTCTAAAGTCAATGGCACACCAAATGATGACGAGGAAAAAGATGCAATTGAAAAACCTGTTCCTGGAAGTTGTGCATTTGAATGGGGGCCCAGCAGTAGTAATGGGCAAAACGGTTCAGAAAAAAGTTCTGGAACTGCGTGTTTAATTACTGAAGATTCAGAAGATGACACTGATGATGATGATGATGAAATGTTCGAAGCCTCAATTAAGTTGGAGTAAGAGTTATTATCAAGTGTTTAGATATTATGTGCAGAGACATGGAATAAACACAAATATTAAATATTATTATGCAAATGTAGTTAGTTACAAGTGATGCAGTTCCTGTATTTGTACATATTATTGCTTTATTTTCTTAAGTTCACATAAGATCTTACTAGTCTATAACTTCTAAATTTAAATAATACATTTAAATCAACCTATAATAAGATCCTGTTAATCTATTGTTAAATAATATTGTATTTTAACAATTCATTAAAAAGTACTGAATAGAACTCTTTATTTTTCGATAAATATCAATATGTTAGTGTCATGGTTTCCTGTTGCCTTTTTCACCCAAAAGGGTACCATTTTAAATTGGTAACAATGCTTCAAAACTTGCATTTTCACAATTCAAGTTGAAAAATGTGTATAATATATTTTATTTTATTTTTAGTGATGAATCAGATTCAGACAGCGATGAAGAAGAAACACCGAGTAATAGTTTTGTATATGAAGAAGATGAAGAAGAGGATAAGGTAATGAATAATGTTTCATTTTTATATTGGATAGTGTATATATTTTTGAAAGAAGCATTTTATTTGTTTTTAGTTGTTATTTATCTATACTAGTGGTTCCAAATTGTTCTGATTCACATTTTCCTTAATTTTACTATTAATCTGATGGATCCATTTATTATTTTTTTTCATACTGATTCATATGAATTGTTTTAAAATATATACAGATTGTTTATTTCTATGTAAATTAACTTTCTTATCTATGCCTTTTGATTCTACAGTTCATAATCAATTTTCTAACTACCTTAGAGTTAGAGTTATACTCTAAACCTAAACAAATATTTTCTAACTGTAAATAAAGCGTACAAGGATAATATTATATAAGCTCTTATGAAATATTCTAAATATTTCTTTGTATATATATTATTAATAATAAATATCTATTCTTTTTTATCTTAGCCAGGAAAAGATAGTGGATGTACAGCAGTAATGGCTCTATTAGTAAACAATAAACTTTATGTTGCTAATGCTGGCGATTCAAGGTGTGTTGTTTCTATTAACGGAAAAGCTCATGATATGTCAAAAGATCATAAACCTGAAGATGAACCAGAGTTAAAGAGGATTTGTAAAGCTGGTGGCAGGGTTTCAAGTGATGGCCGAGTGAATGGAGGCTTAAATCTGTCCAGAGCTCTGGGTAATTATTTCTATTATTCTGTGATGTTACTAAAAAAAAAAAAAATTCTAACTAAATACATTTTTTCAGGTGATCATAATTATAAAAAAAATAAAGATCTTCCAAATACTGAACAAATGATAACAGCTCTACCTGATGTGACTGTCTTGGACATGACACCAGATAATAACGATTTTCTAGTATTAGCTTGTGATGGTATTTGGAATTCATTAAACAGCCAGGAAGTTGTTGATTTTATTTTGGAACGTATCAACAAACCAGATGTCAAATTATCATCAATTTGCGAGGATGTATGTAGATATTTTAATTTAATATTTGTATTTAATTTTTTCATTATTATGTTAAATTCATTATTTTAGCTGTTCGATCATTGTTTGGCACCCAATACATTAAGTGATGGCACTGGTTGTGATAATATGACATGTATCATTGTTAAGTTAAAACAAAATCAAAAGCGTTCTCGTACAGATGACGAAGAGGATGATGCAGAAAGAGCTGAGACTAAAAAACATAAAACAGATTCAACGGAACCTGAATCTGTACATTAATGTTCCTCCTGGCATCGAAGATTTGATTTGACGAGCTGTTTGTATTTGTTTCTGAATTTTACAGATGCATGCGACTGATTTATGGATTAATTTCTTTCTTAAATTTTAACGAGAAAAAACATTATCTTATAATTTATATAATAATATTATTGTAGTGTAGTTTTATTATATTTTTCATAATTAAAATTTCATATGATAATAAAGTTTATTTTATCATTTTAATAATATTGTACATAGTTAATTTTAATAATTAATTTGACACAAGTATTTTTTTAATTACTTTTATTAAATATATATATTGCATATGTATTTATTAGTTATAATTTTTTGTTCATATTTATTTATTTTAATATTTCAATTAGGTAATTTAATTAATGGTAATTCAATAAATATTAAAATGACTAGTAATCTTATTTAAATTAATAATTTAATACTAACTCAAATAAACAAATGTTTTGGTTAAAAAAGTACAAAGTTGTAGTCTTCATTGGTGTTAATTTAAGTAAGTCCATTTTCAAGTATATGAATATAATATATATTTGTTTGTAAAGTAATTACTAATTTGATATCATATGCTTTCTGCAAAGTGTTGTCAAAAATATCACTAAAATTGTTATGGTGGTAAAATCCCAAGCTGCTAAATTTATATTATCTTAATATTAATACTATAACTTAATCATCTTCAATTATATGTAAATAACGTAATAGATCTTAAGACTAGGACAAATGATGTTATCTTTAAATTTGATGATAAATTACTAATTTCATTCTAATATTAAAACTATCAAAACTAAGCTGCTTTGTTAATTTGTTGTTACCTACTTGAAGACCGACTAAAAATGTGTTTTTAGGGCCTCTTGAAATTGAAACAGTATATTGATAAATTCTTTGATTGTCAACATTGTATTCTTAATTTAGTATGAAATTATAAACATTGTTAGGGGCCTTGCTACTACCATCAATTTTAGTTGGAAAGTGACAACATGTTTGTTAGTTATTGCATGATTTTAACTCAGTAGATAAGTGTCTAACGGTATACTGAACAAAATTTAATCTAATTTAATTTTTAATTCTAATTGAAAGCTTGAAGTTATGGCATTTTACTTATATGTTGTCAAATTATTGTTGTCGTTATACTAAAAATTAATAATAGAATGTGCAATCTATAGACATTTTTCTGCTGAATTCAAATCCTTTTCTTAGAATTTAAACCAGACAATGTTAACTAACTTTAATTTTGTCAACTCTATAAGTAAGTTGCCGTTAAATTTGTGTAGTGTATTTTATATTGTTATGGAGTTATTAACGTCATGTCTATGTGCGCTAGTGATTGGGTTACATCAGTATCCTCATTGGACCTCATCCTAACCTAACTTAGCAGATCCAGGGTGTAAATATCAAATTTAGAAAATGTCTATTGTTATTTGTTCCCCTTAAGTGAAAGTAATACCAAGACTCCATAATAGTAATGATTTATGAACAGTGACCATCAGTGAAGACTTAAAAAATAAACGATTCTGTTATAACTCATATTATTTCTTTAGATTTTGGATAGCATTAGGTATTAGGATAGTAATATAGTCTAACACATATGATGACAAATTGAAATAAAATATTTACATTTATTTTAATTGTACTCAATATGAAATATAATTGTTAAGCTTAATATAACAATATTATTTATATTTTAAGACATGTATGTAGTTATATCCAAACAAACAAAATTATTATTTTTATAATACTTTTTATTAGCACAGTTTCTATAATACTAAATAGTAATTACTAATGAAGAACCACTCTCATACTTGACGCCTGGACATTGCCTTTCAATTTATTAATACAATATTTTATTGTGAATACACTAAGATTAGTGTATACTTATACTTTATAGTCTGGCCTATTATTTACATGGTTAAGATTAAGATATTATTATTTATTTTAACAGATTAAATCATTAGTATTGCAGAATAAATGAAATTATTATGAAAAACCCAAATAACGAATTGGTACCACTTACTAGAATAGTAGGTATTAGGTACTAAGTAATAACTATGATGTTATGATTCATTATTATTCCCTTTTTCAGACATATAATATAAAATAGGTAATTAGTTTTCAATCAACTCTGCATTTGTTATTCCACAAACAAATGTATTTTATCTACCTATCCAAGTATTTCTAACTATAAGTTTTCTTATTTACATGGATACAAAATTTAAAATTGTAGGAATTTTAAAAACGTATTCAAATATATAAATACATTGGTACGGTATAAATCTGATTTTATTTATAATGGCTGGAAATTAAAATAATTTGAAGTAAGTACCAATGGAAACACTTAAAAAATCTCATTAACATCGAAATCTGTTGGACAGCATTGTCGGCCGTGATCTATAGTTTCCTCTCAACATTTTACGAACTTATATTCGTACAAATCTGTATTGTAAAATGTTTTAAAAGTCTGCTAATTATTATTTACATCGGCCTCAAAATAGTTAATTTAAGCCGTTTACTCGTCAAACAAGCTATTGAAAAAAAAAACAATATTAGATAGGTGGTAGGTAGGTTGGGTCTATCTAATAAATCTAAAATTGTCTGTGGACTGCTGTGTTTCATACGATATTATATCCATGAGCAATAAACGATTTACAATTGAACACCTTCATACCTTAGTAGATAGTACCTAAAATAATACTATGTGTATCGTGGTTTAGAAAAATAAGTGACCATGTGTCTAGCTGGTATCTAAATGGTATTTAACTAATCGTAACCAACTACTAATCGATACTGTAGAAGTCTAGCCTTTAAAAAATTGCATGTACAGACAACATAATATTTTATGAAAATAAAATCACGGTGCCTACCTAGTTCCTAGAAAGGTACATGATACATATTAGTATATTATATATTTTATAGGTATAACGTTATAATGATTAAACGTTTGGTCTAAAATATCGAAACAGCGCTTGCAGTATACCTGGCCTATTTATATACAGTATGTCGGCGGAACTACCTACTAGCATTAGTTATAAATACATGGTCTTTATAATCAATGCTAATAGGTGTATTTGTTTTAAGTAAGTTTAGGCAATAGCCAATATTTAGGTACAACTGAAGTAGTTAGGTATGAAACGTGAGTAGACAAATGGCTTATAGACCGGCTGTGTATGATATTTGATAGATTTATAGATGTAATTTTTTGTCAAATCTTCAGACAAATGGGAATCCATAATGGTTCGATTTTCGAAGGACGCCGGTAACATATTTTTTGTATTATATAAATTATGTCACTTATACTCGAGCTGCCTCGGGATAAACGCATCTAATAAATACCTACCTAATAATTTAATGCCCACCATTATACGACCATCTAATAATATTCTAAAATAATAACTCAAGCCCTAATTGCTAATACTATAGGTACCTATAATAGTTGAAACATTAGCAGGTGATTAAACTTGTACCTATTTGTGAAATTGGGGGGGGGGGTCAGCAAGGCTGGCCGAGTTCACTGTTGATAAATGGTTTGTTTTAGGTAGGTATATTAAGGTTAGAGTTAACATGGAACTTAAAAGTATGTATTTAATTTTTCTTCACCTCAGTCATACAAATCGCTATATTTTATCATCTGTATTAGGTATATATTCATGTGATGTACAATCAATTATTATTGAAAATATAAATATATTTACATTTATATATTATATAATATCATATATAAATTATTATACAAAAACTTAAAAACTTGTAATACTCTATTATAGGTCATTGTAGTATTCGGGTGCGTGGACAACCCCAAAGAAAAAAAAATTATGTCGAAATACATATTCCTATAAGTATGGTAGGTGCAATGATAAAATGAACAATTATTTTTACTAGGTGGGTAAAATTTAACGTTAAAACGCAAACAGAATAATTACTATAATCCTTTAAACATCTAAGATTTAATTTTTAACATTTTGAATTAACAGTAAGAAAGATTATATTAACCAATTATTACAGCCTATTGGTATTATTGATATATTTTTATAATTATGTATTAGCAAACACTTCGTCCAGATGTATTCAAAATTTCAAACTGCAGCGGGTATTATGTGCATTATTAGAAAACGTTGGTGAATGGAGCCGCATCAAAGAATCAGAAACCAAAATTAATGTTGGTAATATTCCTTTAATTGATGTAAATATTATTTATAAATTAAAATTATTATACTGATTAATGATGATGGAAACGTTAATGAAACACACTTGACAATTTGAAGTTCTATTTCTAATACCAAAAGTCATTATTATTATCACCCGTATTGTTTCAATTTTTTTCTTAACAATTTGGGGGCCATAAAAATATTGTAAACATACTAGAATGAAAATGTTTAAACACAGACCTTGTCGAATGGTAGGTGTAAGGCACTCAATAGTGCATTCAGGGGGCATAGCTCGTTTCACTCAAAAATAACCCTCCTCGTTTCGCCCAAATTTTGTTTTTATGATTTCCATTTCGCCCAGAGTAGTTTAGATCAATTTAAAATTAAGTTGTCAATGATTGTAAATTATAATATTTGAGTATCATTTAGCGTTATCCAACTCTTTGTTTTCCAAAAATTATTATTTTCACAAAAGTGATAAATTTAACAAATTTGAAATTTAGTCCGCAATATTTATAAAAAATAATCATAAAAAAATATAATTTACTTTATAATAAAAATGTATACATATTATAATAAAATCGATTAATCGTTCAAAATATATTTATTAATAGGTACCCACACTTTCTTTTTAAAATTATTACACATGCTTTTAATGAATTCATAGAGAGTAATTTAATTTGATCGGTACCTCGCGGATCGTTATTTGTTTCTGATAATGTAGTTGCCTTTTAATTATACTTGCATCTTTTGATGTCCTTGGTATTTCAACGCTATTGATTTTTTATATTTGTATCTGTTTGAACATCATTTCTCACAACATTTAACCAACTTGGTATAGATGGAGAGTAAGAATAAAAATGGTCATTGAAGAACGAATGCAACGACTCGCACACATTCGTCGGAAGCAGAATTACATGCCCATAAACAAAGAGGAAATGTATTATCAGAAATGTAATTGTTTACTAAATAATCACAATATTTGGTGGCTCTATCATCAGTTGGGCATTCTGTCATCAAATCTTCAACAAAACAATCAGACACTTCTTCGGGGTCCAAATATAATAAACCATAAGTGTATTTAATCCATTTGCCAATATCCGAATTGTTTTTATATTCTGTTGCTAAACCACACTGCTGAATATTTCTATACCACGTTTGTGTTAGATGAAAACAACGGTAAGCTAAGCTATGGTGAAGATGCAGTGCGTTGATAAATTCGTAGGCATTATTTATAGGTTTTGATCGATTTCATTACAACTATAGGTTTTATAACGTTTGCTATAAAATATAATATTTGACTAAACTATTGTCAACTTAATTTTAAATTGATCTAAACTACCCTGGGCGAAACGGAAATCATCTAAAAACAAAATTCGGGTGAAAGGGGTTCCCGTGTAACGGTGTGGGCCATTTTTGGGCGAAACGGGTCCCGCCCCATCCAGGATCTGTAAGCCCAGGGACTAAACAAATTCTGTCTCCCCTCTTTACACGGTTACAACCACATGCTTCAACATTTCCTTTATGTTTTTTGCCCCGATGATCTTACTTTTTTCATTTCCTCCCTGATGATTAGATACAACCAGATTTTCAAAGCAAGTAAGACAGGTAAACTTCTCATTATTTAATATTAAAAATGAATTATGTCTCAAGTCTTAACTAATAACTAGGTACTTATATAATAACACCCACATGACACATTACACACATAATATAGATAATATAGCTCTGTTATTGATACACACTTGTACATTAAGTAATAAAATAACAAAATATTAAACTAATTATTGAAACATCATATTATATTTATAAACCCCACTCTCCCCCCAGTCCCTACCCAATATCCCTTACACTAATAAAAAAAGACATTCCGTTAACATGCCCGTCCTTAAAATCTCTTACATTTTTCAGCACAGGGTCCACATTGCACTGCTACTCGTATATTTTTAAGTCAACCATAACCTGCATAATTTTTTTTCGACAAATATTTATGGATATTTTCGTGCGTTGTTTTATGTACTAGTCACTTGAGTCTAAATTAGGTTATTTTTATTTTGCCCGACGCCGAAAACATATCAGTAACCTGACCAGCCCATAACACAATGGCACAATAACCAAATTCATAAATCAGTAATCACTCATCATCACCACCACTATGAGTGATGGAAAGTTCAATGTTTATATTAATTATCAATATAATTACTCGTATTAAGGCAGATAGGTGTATACTTATATTGATTTAGAATTAGATAGGTGTAGACGGTGTAGTTATGATTGTATTTGACAATGAACTCGCGGTCACAGACTCTTGGCTGCTGTGTGAACAGTGTAACCAGGTATTACGTATATATTATATCGTATTTGCAGTGAAGTCACTTACACAGTTACACTTCAATGTAAATGCGATAAAAGCAGAATTTATGTAGAAATAGTTGTAGATTTGTAAAATAAATAATTTATGAAGGTACCTATGTATAATATTTACTTTGGTATATTGTATTAATATTTATAAAAGTATATTCGGTATAGAATTTACGATGTTTTGCATTTTAACTTCGAAATCTACTTAAATTGTTATTTTTATATTCTATCATACAAAATTTATTTTGACGATTAAACCTTTTTTTATTTTTTTTTATGAAAATTTCAGGTCATGCTGCGAAGTGTTTTTTTTTACCACGGTCAAACTGTATAATATATTAGAAACACGTATTAAACCGCGAATAGGAAGGTGCGTATAATAATTTCTCACGGCGAAAAAGTAAAATTTAACTCTCGAGTTGGGCAGGGACCTACTCGCAACGAGATTGTTTGTCACGTTAAAAAATAATTCATTATACTTATTATACAGGTTAGGTTATGCGTCACATCGTACACGTCGCTGTAAAAAGTAACTCGTTAAGTTAATTACGCAGAGGCTAGCGCGAGCACACGGTAAAAGAGTAATTCGTTGATTTAATAAAAGTCGCAGCTGAAAATAATGAAACGTTTCCGACTTTAAAACCACCGCGTTATAATACCTATATATGCGGCCCGGGACATCGGATACCTAGGTATCTAAATAACACCATAATCATACGTGTTTGTGCACATATTTTTATTCAACAGGGGTGTATAATATCGTATAAAAACCGTTTAAACCCGATTCGCAGAATGTAATCCGGTCGCATGTACACGGGTAGGACTATACGGTGGCCACCTATATAATATGTTTTAATAAATGCGTTCGGTTAATACCTGCAGCACGCCCGTGGTACGTAGCCACGATACCTTTGCGGCTTTGTGCACGTATAATGCGTTCTACGTTTTTAAACGAAAGTATAACGTACATACATTACTTATATGTATAAGTAATAATACAGAGTTTGGAATACGACTCGGGTATGCGTATAACACGATAATGATATTATTATCGACTCCATGTAGCTATACAGCATGTAACTAATTATTATTTATTATTCTACATCACAGCTGCAGTGCCTTCGGATTAGTATTTATTTTTTTTTGGGGTAGTTATTTTTATAGATATTATTGTAAATGTTGCGCATACGTATCTATAATGCAGTGACGTGCCCAGGTGGAAGGTTAGGGGTTATATTCACCCACCCCACCATTATGCCTTAAATCACCTTATTTGTGTCTTTGGTACTATACCAACACAACTCATTTAAAATGTATAGTTACTTATAACATCTCTTACCGCACAAATTGAAAATTTCTAGGCACGCTACTGATCTAATGTATGTACACGTTTCAATTTTAATAAATAAATAATACCTCTATTATGTTCAATGACCGGTACTGAAGAATCGAGCAGTAAGTCTACGTATATTAGTATCGACTAATATTACAATATTATATTGTGGTGATATCTTACCTACAAACGGTTTTTTAATCGGGGTGTCAATTGTGATAAAAAAAACACAAAGTTTCCAACAAAATAAGTCTGCCATGCTGAGGACGATGCACGTTTCCACCAAATTCGAGATATTAACCGCACTTTCAGCTTTCATAAAAACTGTCTTTTACCACCAAATAATACGTCATGTACCTCTACCTATTATCATTTTCTTTTAGTCTTATATTAATAATGTTTGTTTTAGATTTTTATTTCTATGTAGGTAGTTGGTATTATTAAAATAGACTTTTAAATCTTCTAAATCTTCTTAAGGACACCCGCATGTAGTGTCTGTCTTATAAATGTACAACATAACAAATTTTAAGTTAACAATAATCCACTTTACTCTGTTTTATTTAAAATTAGAGCGAATTACAATGGTCCATGATGCATTTTAAATGTAAAATTATTATCCATGGAATCTCGGACTGCTTGGAGAATTTTATTGATATTATTATTTTTAAGTAACTTATAAACATTAGATCATTTTAAAATGTACAAACGATTTGAAGTTTTAAAAAAGTCATAATTTGCTGCTTAATACAAATATCAATAAAAACCTCCTTGATAATAATCATACCCTTACATTTTAGAACTGGTCAATTAATTCTAATTTTAGAATTTACAGAGTAAAATGTATTATTGTGAACGTACAAGAGAGGTAATGGTGGTAGCACACGCGGATGTGACATCCTCCGAAAAAAGCCAGGGTTACACATCGTATCAGAATAATATACAGTGCAAATTTTAAAATAATGAAACAAATTAAAATACAAATAAATAGATTGATGTATTTCCGACAGAGAAATACAGACTATAGGAACGATTCGCACGGTTATCGGACGACGATGGACGCTGTGGACGAGCCGAAACCTTCCTGTTGACGCGGTGTACTTTTAGGATGAAATTTTCCGACTCGATAGAGAGACGAAGTAGAAGCAGTTGATTTTGCGACTAATCTACAATTTACAAGTTTTGTTAGCTCTGAAAACTTCCAGTCTGGAAATCCTTTTCAGGTAAGTCTCGAAGTACGTGTAAAAACCATCTGCGTGGATGAGATAAAGAGAATTTCCTTTTTTCGTTTTTCACTCGTCTCACGGGCGACGGAAAACCGGAAGCTACCGCGGGTGCACTATATATGCGCTCATACTCGCTGTGTAGTCGAAAGCGAAGTTTGGACAATACTACGATGTGTATATAATCAGCAGATGTGTCGTTTCGAGAGGGACTTTACCGGCAGTTTCTACCCGGGTCTGGTGAGGTATATGTTTTTCGTTTTAATCTTTCGATCCAGACAAAAAAAATCCAAAAGGCTCTGATGGTTTGTCTCGAAAACTCGAATACACGTAGGTTCCTATGTTTATTAATTACATCGTACATTCTTACCACCGCGAACCTGAAAATTGAACACTTAAGAGTTTTTTCTCGTCTACTAAATAAATATATAAATTATCGTTTTTATTAGAAGTGGTAATTTTTTTTTATAGCTCCCTTGTATAAGCAATCCTCGCCGCCCTTGAATTAGGCAGGTAAATATAAGTACAGTACTTAACAATAATATATTACACAGCTAACATTAGATTTACTCTCGAATAAACCATAAACATTTAAAACTTTAAATATGGCCTATAATTAGCCGAATGAGTTATATAGTTTATAATTAAATTTAAACAAGTCAAATCATACGTCCAGTAAAGTAACGAAAAAAATCGATCTACAGCGGTGTAATAATAATAACAAGAATAATAATAGGTAATAATAATAAAACATTATATCCGCATTATTTTTTTAAATTTAGATATACTAATAATCAGCATATTATAATATTCAGTAACCACCACCGATAAACTCTCCGAGTGTTGGTACCTACGAATTAAGTTCGAGTTAAGTTCATTTGTTTTTTTATGTTTGTTTTAAAATATTTTCATTTATTTAGAATTTTTCCGTCACGGGGCGTGTTGCGGCTTACGGTAATAACTAATATAATTATAGCAGGGGCTGCAGTATTGTAGTTATAGAAATAGTTTTATAGTTAGAAGAAGTAGTGGTAGTAATTAGTAATAGTAATTAGTAATTATTGTAGTCGTCTGGATTAGTGATATATATAGTTATGTATTTAATGGTGGTATTTGAGTACCTATTGTATAGAATGCAGTCGTAGTTGGGCATATACGAATATAATAATTATGACCTTCCTACACACACCCTGTACAGCAGTGGTAGTTATAATTTTTCGTTTGATGTTTTGTCTTATTTTAAAAAATTATTTTTTCTTATGATATCGAACACGAGTTGCGCTTCGATCTCCCTCCACCGCCGCCACCTCCACCGCCACCGCCGCTGTCGTCTTTGCCGCTCGCCTTTTTCTGCAGGTGAGCAAGTTGCGCCGGCGTGGGCACCATCGACCCCTGGCCCGAACCGCCGCCGGACGGCAACGACTGTCTTCGCGCCGAGTTCCGCCGCAACGACGGGCCCAGGTCGTACTTGATCTTAGCCTGGTTCAATAGTTCCTTGAATACTTCGCCCACATTTATGTTGTCCTTTGCGGACGTCTCCACGAAACCGTTTTCCCAGTCCACTTCCACCAGGCACGAAGTCTCCTCGTACGGCACCTGTCGACAAAATAACGCGTCAACGTATTGTTATATTATAATATTATAATACTGCTGTGTGGTCGTGTTAATAATAATAGGTACATTATTTATTTTAGGGCTATGCCCTCTCGAGGATACATTTATTATATGAAAACTCAACAAAGAAATAACGAAGATGCCATTTCAAAAAAATGCATTTATGACCTACAAAATTCCCCAACAAAAGAATCCTGTGTGTATACATTAGGCATATAACATAAATACCTGTTGATTTACTTATATCTGAAAACTGTAGAGTGAACGAGATGTATGAGAGCTACAGTTTTATTTTTTCGTAGGTAATAATCATGGGTGTTGTTTTTAAAATTACGTAACTATACAGTTGTAAAACTTTTGCTATTATATTGCAATTTAAAACACATTTTATATCTGATTAAGTACCTGCAATAATGTTGTTATTTGCTACAATTGTATGAATTGTTAATGCACCTAATTCAAATTTAATTTAGGTACTGGAACAGGTGTCACATTTTAATCACCCACCATCCACGTATTCGAATACAAAATGACGCAACTAATCTTAAACTTGTATGTAAATAGGCTGAAATAGCAATGCAAATGAACAAATGCATTATAGAAGATAATGGGTTTATGTATTATTGATTAGTTTAAAATATAACTATAATGACTGATGTCATAGGTACATATATATGCCTGTATGGCTGTATATTATATATATAATTTACGCACATAATTTATTTTATATTCTGTGTATTGCAACAGGTAATCTGTCTATTGAATTATGTATTTATATAAACTTGTTGCACTGTCTTCTCGGGTCACCATATCGCATAATACTACCTGTCATCGTCGTGCAGTATTATAACAAAGTCGGTCAGTCATTGAGTTATGATATCGTAGGTTACCTACTTATCAGTTATCAGTGTGCCGGTGTCGTGGTATCCTGCAGGGCAATATCGCACATTCTGTTAAATGTTCGTACAACTACTGTCGAGGATCGTAAAGTAGTGAGACTATATTTTTTTCATAAAAAAAAAAAATACTCCCTCTTATATATACACCGGGGGAAAAAATATATGTAACAATCACGACGACGACTTACTTACACACACCCTCACCAGAATATTATTTATACATGTCACGTTCACGCCATGGTCATGCAGTGTACACCGGCTGTACCTACGTACAGTGAAAAGAAGGAAAAATTACAATTGTGTTTGGTGAATTCCGAGTTGAATGCAAACGAAACGATTTGCATAAAACGTATATAATATTATATAATATATCTAAGTACCCACCACCTATATATATGTATAACAAACAAACATTTCACCCTGCAGACCGCTGTGTATATATTTACATTATTTATATAGTTGACTGACGGATGCACATTTTTTTTGTGAAATCTCATCTATGAAACTGACATCTAATGTACCTACTTAAAGCGTAAATTATTCGACATCATACGATATTATTACAGTATATAAGTATAATGCAGTATTATACTATCTGTATTATTATTATTGTTATTATAGGTTTGTTCATTTTTAAACGATTTCGTAAAATATTCTATCCATCGTAATCATATTTTAGTATTTAGACATTGCGGTTAAGTTCTAATTAAATAGGTAGGCGTATACCTCCCTCGAAACACGATTAGGTATTTTTAATGTATGCGATTTATTATGCACTGATGTAAAGTGCAAACTATTAAATTATTATATTCTCTGTATAGAGGTAAATAATATAATTAAGAAATAAATTATATTTTTTCAAAGTTGTTTCAAAACGAGCTGTTTTAATACAATTAAAATGTATCTTTTTTTTAGCATTATTGCGCACCGCTGCTGCAGTATTTCCTGGTAGGTACCTACACAACAATAAATAATACATATCTATATTATAGATTCTTTGAAGTGTTTTAGTATGATTATAAGTACCTATTGTATAAGAAATTTCGTATAATTCTTGTATGCTCCACGCGAAAAGCCGAAAAATAAAAATGACAGTTATTAAAACAAACCTTTCAGTGCTCAAAATGTACAAAAATTCTAAAATTGTTCACAGAATTTCCTAACTTCCTATCGCAATTAACTTACTTAAAGTAATAACCTTATAGTTGTGTGACCATCAAACATAATATTTTCTAGGTGACCTTTTTTGAAACAAAAACAAGACACGAGAATGCAAATTATATAAAAACACTAACAGTACATTAAATAAAAATGTCTAGTTTGTTTCATAACCAGCTGCAATAATACTTTTGGCTTGCAATTTTCAGAAACATCATTATACCATTATGATTTATGACCGAAACATATTGATGATTGATATAATAGATATATACATATAATATTATAAAAGTTTCATTTAGTGATCTCGTCCTACGCGCAATGCAAACAAATGGTATATTCGGTCTATTACGATTGTGCGTATTGTTATTAAATTTGAGAAAAAAAGTATAAATAAAAAAATACCATGCAAGTCGTTCTGATATATATATAGCAGCTATTATTGCCAGTATAGTATAGGTAGGTGACGCCGAGTGAATCTCGTCGCTTTTCAGTAGGTCACTCATTTGAATTCTATGATCAATCATTTAACTTACTCCTGTAAGATTGATTTACTAGTGATTGGTATTAGTGATGTATTTTATATTGTCATTAGTAATTTATTTATACATATGAAATACGGTAGATTGAACTACTCATTTTTTCTCAGCAAATCGCATAGGTACATAAATCTATATTATAATTTTACTAGTTATTAGTACCTAGTTGTTATATTAACTTATTAATCTAAGAATATTGAGCATTTCATTATGCATAGTAAATAATTATATAAATATACATTACACCGAATTACAAAAAATGGTTGTTCCTATGAATAATATTTTTTGAATTCCAAAACATAATTCATTATTTTTTGTTTAAATATTGTCGTTTTAATTTCGTCTACATTTTAACTTCGAAGATTATGCATAATTACCTATTTTCGATATCTTTAAGTTTTTGTAAGAGCACCGGCCCTTATAAGAAACTGGTATTACATATTCAAGCCTAGGCTATAGAATCTAAACATTTTTGTCTACAAAATAATTTGCTGATTTTATCGGGATCATTACCAATATTTAAACTCAGAATGTTCATAAAAAAAATAAAAATTGATTTTATTGAAAAAAAGTGTTTCGTAAATATTCCCGGTTTTCCGTCATCTTTTTTTTGTTTTCCCCGATTATTTTTAAAAAGAGTGATTTTTATTTTTGACCCCCCAGAGTACAAACTACATTCCATTCGCTAGCTACTTGTAAAGTAATAAAGAAGATTGTTGCATTTTTGTCTGCTATATAAAAAGTATCTTTTGACATAAGGAAAAAAATATAGGTAGGTGTACACATTGTAAAAGCAATACGCATTCATTGCTCCTCTCGCAGAATCTAAAACCATTGAATAAAAGTCTGATTAAATTGAATTCAATTTGCGATTTTTTTTCAAATATCAAAAAAAACGTTTCTTAAGAATAATAGTCTGACGACAACAAAGACTAGAAATATATATTATTATTCATTATAAATTATTATATTGTATATTTCTCAAAGGAATAACCTAGATGGGTAACATACAATTTCTTTTAACTTTTTATAATATTGATGACTGTTTGTTTTATAATATTCAGGTCGATAGACATTTTAAACTGCAGTGATGTTGTAGAGAGTCATCTACAAACGCCGTGCCGTATTATAGGTGGTTGAAGTACTATTAATATTATCATCTACGATATGATTAAAAAAAAAAATCGATGTGGTCCGTTATCACTTACAAAATAAAAAAGTAACCAACACTTCGCAGTTGTACGTGGGTAAGATCTTCAGTATTGAAATGTCGAATAGCGACGAGCACAGTATATAATATAGGCATACCTACTTAACGTCAATAATTTACGAGGGTGGGTCATGTGGGTGTGTAATAAACTATTTTCAATTTTAACGAAAATGATCGGTGGTCACGATGGATGTGAGCGGCCATCATTATGTTGTTTTATACACGACGGTTCAAATAAAATACGTTTTCTTTGTTGTCGACCATCGACGTTTACAACAAAAAAACACGTGTTGCGTAAGCGAACAGTATACCTATATATATACGCACCGTCATCACCAAGAATTTCGGAAATTGAAAACATTATATTATTATTATTTTACAAAGTGTTTGCACGGATATCCGACGTTCAATAATTTAGTACCTATATTATGTGTGCGATGGAGCAACAATATCGGTAACTGTCGGAACGTTTATGGTACATTTTGTAACTTACTTATATAAAACATAAAATATACACAGCCGGAAATGTAATTAAAAATTAGGATGTACTTTTTAGATTGGGGTTCGGATATTATTTCTACATTCTACAATCTTATTCAGTTTTTTAATCCAGGACTTTTTCGCTATGGTTAATTTTACACTATTAATCCGCATAATACAGTTATTATAGTGTATGATAATGGAGAATAACAACCTGAAATGGATATTAAATTCATCTAAACGTATATTTTCTCGAAATATTATATGAGTAACTTCATTCTATAAATGTAATAAACTGTTTTATACCTGTGTATCAACTGACTATAAAGTCTCAACCAGATACGTAATGTTTGTACACTTTGTGATGTTTTGGAAAAATGTTCAATTAAATAAGTAATAATACTAATATAATTCAAAATACAAAAAATAAATTATACACATCATATTGTATACTTTATACATATTTTTGGTAAATGTATTTATGAATCATGTACAGTATGTGTTTTGAAGAACTCTTACCAATAATCATTATCTTTGTTTGATTTAATAATAATTATTTATTTAAATTTTGTTTCATTTGATATCAAAAGATTACTGAGGTTAATATTCTTAATAATAAACATTTAAAATTTCAAAACATGGTATATATATGTTTGTAGTAGTTGTACCTGTATCATATTTATATCGGACTAATGG